TGTGAGTTCAAGGCCAGCCTGGTCTACATAGTGAGTTCCAGGACAGCTGGGGCTACAGGGAGACCCTGTCTCAAAAAGAACAAAAAAAAAAGAAAGAAAAAAAATGTTTCTCGGGAAACACAGCATTCTACATGCCAAGCAAGCCCTCTGCCCCTCAGCTCCTTGTATTCATAGTCATATTGCCTCAGCCCCCTGAGTCACTGGCACAGCAGACTTACACTCCCAGGCCAACCTTTGTTTCTTGGTGGGTTTTTTTTTTTTTTTTTTTTTTTTTTTTTTTTTTTTTGAGACAGGGTCTCCCTGTAGCCCCAGCTGTTCTGGAACTTACTCTGTAGACCAGGCTGGCCTTGAACTCACAGAGATCTGTCTGCCCCTGCCTCCCAAATGCTGGGATTAAAGGCATGCGCCACCACACCCGGCTGTTTCTTGTTTTTTACCTGAAGTTGCTGCCTTGTCACTAAGTTACTAAGTTACTACCTGCCAGCCCAGGGAATGAGGTGGCTTTGCGGGTCCACAGTGTCCCTGTGCGACTCAAGGCTCTGAGGGGACACATATGTCCCCTGTAGGAAGAGGTCATCTTGGGCAGTGGCCACTTCTGGGTCAGCTCTGGGGCCATAGTCCATAGGACAGGTGAAGGGGGAGCATCTGGGTGTCCCCACAGTGCTAGCCTTAGGCCACCCAGACCCTGCAGCCTCATCTTGGCCCACACTCAGCTGTGAATGGTGGCCAGGTGCCTCAGCTGTCTGCCTGGACCACAATATGATTGATGGCTGTGGATCCCTTAGGGCTGTAGCCATGGTCAAAAACCTCAGCCCATAGTCAGGCCAGTGCATAAGGGCCCATTCACAGAGGTCATGCCAGCCATGTCTTTCACAAGCCTCCATGCCTTGGTCATGGGCCATGTCTCATCTATGTGCCATGTGGAGATAGGACCAAGAGCTTCCAGTCTGCCACCTGGACACTAACCCCTGAACCACATCCCTACCTCATATGTAATTGTGTTTTGTGGTTTTGGTTTTTGTTTTTTGGTTGTTTTTTTGTTTTTTTGTCTTTTTGAGACAGGGTCTCCCTGTAGTTCCAGCTGACCTGAACTCACTATGTAGACTAGGCTGGCCTTGAACTCACAGAGATCCGCCTGCCTCTGCCTCCCGAGTGCTGGGAATAAAGACGTGTGCCACCACACCCAGCGTGCTTTGTGTTTTTAAAGCTAGGACCTCACTCTGTAGCCCTGCTGGCCTCAAACTGGTGATTCTCCCAGCCTCAGCCTCCTGAGTTCTGGCCTTCACCTACCATTGCTGCCCCTATAATCAGGGCCACAAGAGCCAGCGGGCTCCAAGAGCAAGTCCTTGGTGTGGGCCCCATTTCCCAAGTGTCCACAGCATAGCCCCCACAGCTACACACAGGCTGGCCTCACTTGCCCCTTACACATCTGTCTGCCTGTTCTTCCCAGTCTCTGCTCTCTGGGGTGCATGTCAGCTGCTAATCTTCCACCACAACCTCTGAGGGACAGAGTCCACTACCTGGCTGGGTCTGGGATAAATAGCATTTGGCGTCCACAGATGTGTACCACCCTGGCTGACAGCCTGTTCGCAGCTGGCAAGGCAGGCCAGTCAGAGGCAGGGATGCCTCCGTGTGTCTAAAGTCAGGGCTGCAGAGTGATTAGGGGAAAGATCCAGGAAGGTTGGGACCAGTGTTAGAGCAGCTGACCCTTTGCAGAGGCTGAGCAGGTGACCTGAGGGGACAGTGGGCCAGCCACTTGAACCCAAGGGACAAGGTGTGGCAGTGTGCCCTGATGGCTCTATATTAGATCAGCAGGATGGCCCCAGGCATACAGCCTCAGATACCCTAGAGCTGTGCTCATCTGGGTACTGCACCTGTGCATGCAGAACTTATGCAGCTTACACAGCTCAAATCACTTGGAGTTGAGCTGATACAGCAAGTGCTGTCCCTCCTCTGAGTACTGCAGGCCATCCCAGACGCCACTGTACCGCCTTGGGACTGTGTATGTGGCTGTATGGTACCTGTGTATATGTGTGTGCATTCTCACACCCTAGGTGAGTCTTGAGCTGCAGGCTGGGTTGACTGAGGATCCTGGGTGCAGGCCACTCCAGTCCCTCTCTGGCCCTGATAAAATCATGTTTAGGGAGTTGGGGCTCAGTGGACAGAAAGTTTGCCTCATATGTACAAGGCTCCAGGTTCCTCAGCACCAAATAAACTAGGCATGGTGATATACATCTGTCATTCTAGCACTCTGGATGTAGAGGAAGGAGTTCAAGGTCATCCTAGGCTATATACTTCTAGGCCCAGCCTGGGCTATGTGAGGTCCTAGCTCAAATAAAATAAAACACATTTGTGTTTAGACAGGCCCAGGTGGTGGGGTCTGTTCTGGTATTGTTCCTCTGAGGGTCTCAAGGTTAGGTGGTAAGATGGGGCCACTGGCCTCGAGTCCTGACCCTGTTGACCAGCTTTACATTCTGCAGTGGTGCAGCATGGCCCAGGGAAGGTTCTTCTGGCAGAAACGCCCAGCTGTGCAGAAAGAGACCTGCAAATCAGGCACAGGGCAGACTTTGGCCAGGGCAGCCTGGCTGCTGATCTCACTCAGGAGCAAGAATTTCCTGGTTGAACTGGCAGCTCTTGGGACTGACCCTCAGCTCTTGGGCTGAGATGTCTCCTCTGGGCTTGCCCACCACTCTGCAACAGATGACAGTGTCCCTCTGCAGCTCAGGCGGGGGTCCTCAGCCTTATAGACAATATGTAGGGTACTGAGCAGCATCCAGCCTGTGTCCAGCCAGGACCAGCACCGTCTGTGCAGGTCTGCCTGCTGCAGGCAGTCTCTCTACCTGTGAAGGACTTGACTCAGCCTTCTGGGGCCACAGAAATGCCATTTGTGGTCAGGTTCACACAGTGTACACAAGTGCTGCTGTCACTACAACATGGATCAGGGCCGGCACTGCCTACCTCTGAGCTTAGCAGGACCACAGAACAGCACCCATGTACTGCCCCATGAGCATGTGCTGGGAAAGATGCCAGGTGCCCTGTTGCTGTGTCTCTGAGTGGGTGTGCTTCACTCTCTAGGGTGCCTTGGTCAGGTACCCAGCACACTATTCTGTGCAGCTGGCTAAAGCTCTGCCCTCTTGTGCCCACATGTCCCTGCTGTGTGGTAACGTAGGGTGTCTGGATGAGGTGGGGCCCCGGCCTGTGGAGTGGTTCCCCCTTCAAGGACCACATTGACACCTTCTCTCCACACAGCATATCTCCATACCGCAGCCCGACTGCCCTGAGGAGGTGCGGGCCTTTTCCTTCTACCTCTCCAACATTGGCCGCGACAGCCCACAGGGCAGCTTTGACTGTGTCCAGCAGTATGTCTCCAGGTGAGGCCACGGCTCTCAAGCCCTCAGAGTCCCCAGTGACCCCGAGTCTGTCCCCTAGAGATGCCCCAAGTCCCCAGGGCTCCTGCGTCTGGAGCAGGTGCCCTTGCACCACATTCTGCCTGCCTATGCTGCTGGTACACTACAGACTAGATCCTGTATCTGGGCTGGCATGGACACACCTAGGGCCCATCACACTGTTAGTGACATGGCATGTTCTTACAGCCATGGGGATGTACATCTGGACTGCCTGGGCAGCATCCAGGACAAGGTCACGGTGTGTGCCACTGATGATTCCTACCAGAAGGCACGACAGAGCATGGCCCAGGCGGAGGAGGAGACACGGAGTCGCAGTGCCATCGTCATCAAGGCTGGAGGTCGCTACTTGGGTGAGTGGTGGGCAGCAGGCTGAGGCCAGAGTTGGGGGCGCATCCAGCTCTAAGCAGAAGTGTACAGAGGGGCCTGTCCCCAGGTAGAATGTGCCCATTCAGGTCCCCAAGAATGGTTCAGCCTTGAGGGCAGGTTCTGTGGCCATTGGTGGTCTGTGAGTACTTCAGTGCTCTTAGTCAGCCACCCTCTCCCTGGCCATGGGCTTGGGACTTACACCCATCAGGGAAGCACAGAGATGTGGCTGGGTAAGGCGCCACATATTGTTCCCCAGCTATCCCTAGCTGACCCCAGCTGCTCCTCCCAAGACCAGTGAGACCAAGTTGACAGACAGAGCTGAGCACACACTAGCCGCTGTAAGTCCCTGTGCCATGCCAGGTCCTGGACCAGCTCAGGAACAGTCATGCAAAAGGGAGAGCCACACCCCCAAGGGGAGGGGCATTTGTGTTTCCTTCTGGTTTTCTGAAGCAGTCTCAAAACTCAAGTTTGCTTTGAGCTCACTGTATTGTTGAGGCGGACCTTTAACTCCTGATCCTGGTGCCTCAGACACGCAAGTCCAGGGATGGCAGGTGCCACTACCACTGAGAAAAGTGAGCTTATGGTTGTTACAGTGTGTGTGTGTGTGTGTGTGTGTGGTCTGCATGTATGTGTGTAGTGTGTATTGCAGGCATGCACTCTTGTGCAAATTAAAAGTATCTTACTCCGTCTCTCTTCACCTTACTCCTTTAAGACAGGGTCTCTGAAGCCTAGATGCTCCCTATTACAGCTGTGCTGACTGACTTTGAGCTCTCAGCATCTCCCATCTCTCTCTGCATGCTGGCATTATTGGCATGTACAGCCATGTCCACTTCTTACCCCAACTTTCCATGTGGGTGCTGAGGTTTGGAACACAGGTCCTTATGCTTACACAGTAAGTGTTGTTACCGCTGAACCATCTCCGCAGCCCCAAAACTTGTTTTTTCAGAGCTGTTAGCCTCCTGTACTGACCTCTCAGAGCAGAGAAACTAGGAGTTGGGACAGTCAGCTCTTAGGGGAAAGAGGTGCTGTGTCAAGGGCAGAAGCCACTCAAAGCAACTGAGAGCCCCCATTGCTTTGAGCGTTTTGGTTTCTTCAGTTTTTATTTTTATTCCTTTTAATTTACTTACTTTTATTTAACTTTTGGGTTTTTGTTGTTGTTGTTTGGTCTTTTTGAGACAGGGTCTTCCTGTAGCCCCAGCTACCCTGGAGCTTGCTATGTAGACCAAGCTGGCCTCAACCTCAAAAAGACCAAAAAAAAAAAAAAGAAAACAAAAAAAAAAAAAAAAAAAAAAAAAAAAAAAAAAAAAAAAGATAAAAATGGAGCCAAGCATGGTTTTACAAGTCTTTAAGTGCCAGCACTGAGGAGGCAGAGGCAAGTGGATCTCTATGAGTTCCAGGTCAGCCTTATCTACATAGTGAGACTCTTATCTCAAAGAAAAGAAAGGGTGGATTTCACATGCTTTGCACTGCCTAGTCCCAAGCAGCTCTGAGTGAGGCTTCACACACACAGACACACACAACCAGGCCTGAGCCACACACACACACACACACAGACACACACACACACACACAGACACACACACACACACACAGACACACACACA